TTACAATGAATAGTTACTAAGCTGTAATACAATATTGCACACACACACAGAATTCATCTGACTGGCAGTCTGGAAAAGGTCAGCATTCCAAGGGCTAAATTACATAGTGGCTTGTGCTGCGCCGAACATAAGAAGCAACCCCACTTCCACCCAGCCTCAGCCATGTGTAACACCTGCAAAGCAAGGCCAAGTAGGTTCTAACTGCCTCACCAATTTTAAGCTGCGGTTTACATTTTCAGAAACTCGTATGGTCTCTCCTGTTCCTACTGGTCTGCAGAGTCATTTAAGACGGCAGTTCTGGTTCATGTCAGAGAATCCCAAGGTCTTGCAGGAAAGTCTAAGAACTAAATGTTTTTTACTGAGTCCTTATCCACAAGACCATCCTCCCTTAGCCTGCATGTCTGCCCAGCCCTTCAACCCTTGCATAAAGACATGTCCATTGTGGGCAGGGGAGGTGTTGTGCTGGTTACAAAATGTCATTACTAATCAAATATTAATTCTGTAGCACAATGCAGTTATTAGACCATCAGCACAGAATTCCATTGATTCTGTCTTGGAGGCCAACATTCACCAAAAAAGTTTCAAAGGAGAGATGGTGGGTGTACAGTTTGGCTGGCATTTCTGACCTGCTTTATACCATATCTTGCAACAATCAGAAACACAGGAATTGCCATACTAGATCAGAACAATAACAAGCTTATATTTATACAACAGAGCTTTATAAATGGTGCACTTATTTAGGAATTGCTTCATCCACCCCTGAAATGGAGCCAACTCTGAGTGCAACACAGCAAAGTAGAGCAGCACACAACAGTTTAGATTTAATTTATAATTATTATCTATATTACCGTAGCACCTAGAAGCCCTAGTCATGGGCCAGGTTTGCCCAAACACCTCCTACTTCCTCCAACCAAGTGAAGCTATAGGAGAAACACAGGATTCCCTTAAAGTAAGAGGATGCTACATTCTGTAATAGTCGAAATTTGGCACAAAACATAACATCAAGGCCTCGGGCAAATTATAAAATAAAATATTAATGGGTACTGTGAAAGAAGAATGTAATTGGCTGATGGATTTTGCAGGGAGCTATTCTAAATGCATGGATTAGGGCTGGCGAGTCAGTTGACACCAAAATGCAATTTTTAAAGATGAAAAGTTAGAAAAAAAAAAAGCATAAGTGAAGTTATACTAGATACCTGCACATCTCAAGTTGGTACTACAGCGGAACCTCAGAATAACAAACAGCAGAGTTACAAACTGACCAGTCAACCACACATCTCATCTGGAACCAGAAGTACACAATCAAGCAGAAGAGACAAAAACAAAACAAAACAAAAAAACTGCACAGTACAGTACTGTGTTAAATGTAAACTACTGAAAAAAATGTAAAATTACATTTTTTTGACAAGATAAGCAAACCATTTCTGAGCTAGTTTCATTTAAATTAAGATGGTTAAAAGTTCAGTTGTAAACTTTTGAAAGAACCATAATGTTTTGTTCAGAGTAATGAACATTTCAGAGTTATGAATAACCTGCATTCCCAAGGTGCTCTTAACTCTGAGGTTCTACCGTAGAGCTTCAGTCTTGGTAACTCTTTCTCTTGTGAATGGAATTAATTTTAACTCCAAATTTAGACATGGGGAAATTCTCCCATAGAGGAGTTGTTCCATCTTCCTCGGGATCATCACAGCAAGGATCATTTGGGCACATCTCACTACTTCCTGCAGTTGCAGAGGACAGGCTCTAGAGAGCGATGGTGTTTCCTATTTTCTTTATCCTTCTCATTCAATCAGGTCTAATCACATGCCTTGCTGAAGCACAAAGCACACATTGGCCAAATTGGGCAGTCTCTACGCAAAAGAATAAATGGACACAAATCAGGCAACAAAAATTATAACATTCAAAAACCAGTCAGAGAACACTTCAACCTCCCTGGACACTCAACAACAGACTTAAAAGTGGCAATTCTTCAACAAAAAAAACTTAAAAAACAGACTGCAACGAGAAACTGCAGAACTGGAATTAATTTGAAAACTGGATACCATCAGATTAGGCCTGAATAAAGGCTGGAAGTGGATGGGTCACTACAAGAACTAAAAACTAATCTCCCCATGCTAATTTTCCCCCTACCGTTATTCACACCTTCTTGTCAACTGTTTGAAATGGGCCACCTTGATTACCACTACAAAAGAGACTTTCCTCCTGTTGAAAATAGCCCACTTTAATTGAATTGTCTCGTTAGAATTGGTAATGCAACTCCCATCTTTTCATGGACTATGTATATATATCTTCCACTCCATGCATCTGGTGAAGCGGGTCTTAGCCCACGAAAGCTTATGCCCAAACAAATTTGTTAGTCTCTAAGGTGCCACGAGTATGCCTCGTTGTTTTTTGCTGATACAGACTAACACAGCTACAACTCTGACACAGTATTCAGTGGATAGTGTGCATAAGCAAAATTAACAGAAATAAATTGTGTGTGAACCCCAAAATACACTTGATCAACACCCCTAACTTACACCACAGTTAAACTTGAGCCTATTGTTGAGCCAGACTCATCGATCAATATTGCTACAAATTGTACTTGTAATGGCCATACAGATAAGTAGCTACCTTCATGCTCTTGAGTTGCAGTCCATCCGGGAAATCATTTGTGGTTTGGACAAACATATTGATTCCATCCCCTTTCATAGCGTTTAAGTGCATAGCAGCATTTTCCAGCACCAGGCTGTCTCTTACTCTACATTCCAAATGCACACCTGCTGGGAGTGTACTACAGAAACGGCCAATTCAGACCTAGGAAGAAAGGCACCTCTTGCACTCAATGGTGTGTTGGGGGAATCAATAGACACCAAAAGGTCTAGTTTGCACCCTCAAGGATTGGCCAAAAGTAGGGAGTCCTACAGGTCCCCAGCTCTTAATCCTAAGGAAAATGGAAACACTTCTGATGAACTCCCACTTTTTATTTCTGGGAACACAAGGAGACAAATGCCAACTAAGGTCTTGTTTTGAGCTCCCTTGCTAGGTAGTGCAGGTAGTGTTATATATTGCACCAGAGTAATGAGATTTCATTTTACCAAACATTTTTATAGCACTATCATTTAGATACACTATATGCCAGCTGTCCTTTAAAATTCCGTTCAGTTGCCATAGTAGAACTGACCATTGCTGCACCTAGTTGAGCATCTTGACGCTCATGGTGGCTAATGTCAGCACTCCGTTATGTAGTTCTCTCCAGTGTGTGTACAGTGCCTAGGAAAACCTCTCACTAAGGCTGCTAGGAGCTACCCCAATGCACATATTTAATAAATAATAATGATAGTGGTGGGAAGAAATATCTTGCTGGTTGTTATGCTCTGAAGATTGAGGACTGATATCCCACAGATTTTTTAAGTTAAATATAACTGCGGACTGTCTTATTTACAGATATGCCTATTCCTTTCTGAAAAGTATTAAATTGTTTGCCCGGCTATCTTGCAGCAATGCATTTCACAGGTTCATTACACCGAATAGTATAGAATCTTGTTATCCTTTTACTTCACTCCTCACATTGCCACGCAACACTGTTTCAGCAGCTTCTGTTGGATAACACTGGGGTTTAGATTAGGTGTCATCCACCTTTATAAGCAGGAAATTCTTCTCACACATGTGTATGGAGTAGCAATGCAAAATGATCCGTTCTCGACTGGCTTAGTGCATCTCAATTTATACAACACCGTTCCCAAACCCAGAGATTAACCAAGATGATGATTATAACTAAAGACAAAACACCAGCATATGCCTGCTGCATTCCAGTATATGCCTAGCATCCACTGCCTAGTATTGCCATCCATCAGTAATAGTTCTGAGTCAGTACACAAATGCAATTCACAAGGTGCTCCGTTCAACAGTACATAATCATGCCTTAGTTTAGTATTCAAGAATCAGGGGAGGGGAGAACATACCGACATTACAGAAAATATTAACTATGTTAATTTTGCAATATTAAAATCTATAGTCTTTAAATCCACAGAGACTGGAAGCTCCAAATGGGTTGGCTGGAAGCTCTAAATCACATTGCTACTAGTGAATCTATGGGGAACACTTAAAAAAAATAGCTCTTTAGTCTGTGTTTTAATTAGATATCTCACCTCGATTTCTTACATCCCCACAACATGTTTCGGTATCCCTCATGGCATCTTTATGCTCCCTTTCTACATCTCCGAACTATTGAACCTGGTGAGATTTTAATAGAAATCCCTGCACTGTGCTATAAAGAGAAGCATTACGGGAGGTTTTAATTAGCATCTGTCAAGGCTGAACCATAGGAAACGTTTGAATTGTTTGTTTAACTTATTACCGAAAAGTGCATTTACTGTCTGGCTGTCTGCACTTGGATGACACAAAATGCTTTAGACTTTTGAACCCCCTCTCCCCAAAAGTTTTTAAAAAATAGCAAACAACAAATTTCTGGGGGTAAAAAGCCATTTCCTCAATCAATACACAGCATGCTTCTTCAACCCTATATTTGGCTGCTGAACTAGTTTCTGATCTCCTGAGGAAAAAGTCATGATGGTATAATTTCCTGACCGGAACAACAAAACTGAGAGCCAGCATTATGTTATTACACATTCCTCCCATTCTGTGCAAGGTACTTGCAATCTTTTAAGAAACTAACATAGCTTAGAAATTAGAGACTACGCTGATTCACCCAGTTATGTCTCCTAAAGATATAGCTTGCATGAGAACACAGAAAACATATCTGATGAAGTGGGTTTTAGCCCACGAAAGCTTATGCGCAAATAAATTTGTTAGTCTCTAAGGTGCCACAAGGACTCCCCGTTGTTTTTTCTGATACAGACTAACACGGCTACCCCTCTGAAACCTGTCACAGAAAAGATAGGTAAGTAGCTCTCTACTTTTGCTAACTTCAAGAATCATTGTTCTCTATTATATTTTTATTTGTATTTCCAAGTATGTCTGTGCCCGAAAGGTAACAAAAGAATGACAGCTATTCCTACCATTTAGCTGCCTGTAGACTATATCTTCTAGAAGGGAGAGCCTTTTCAGTACTGCATCCTGGATAGGGCTGATGCCATGGGCTGTCAAGTTGGCCACTTCTGCCCTGGGATGAATTTCATGGAAGGAATCCCCGCTCTTGACGGTGATGGGTCTACACTTGGCCAGAAAGAGGACAAAGCCAGCCACTGCAATCAAGTTCAACACCAACAGAACTTTGACTCGCCTCAAAGAAGCCATCAAACTCCCAGTGTGGCCGCTTCTGCTGCTGCTTAGCAAATGAGGGGTGGCGTGTGGGGAGGCGCCTGGCTGGAGATGCAAAGGTGGCTTGGGATGGGAGGTGGCTGCAGGTGAGAGCACATCCCACGTCCCCGGGAGCTGTGGTCTCAAGCCCAAGCAGGGAGCGTGCAGGACAAGCGGCAGCCGCAAAGATGGGTGGTACGGAAAGGTGCCGGCTCAGGAAGGCTTCCTAGTGCCCCGCAGGTGCAGAAGAGATGGAGAGAACCGTCCGGGTGCGGCAGCCGCGGCGCCCGGAGGGGAAATGCCCCCGGGATGGGGAAGCCAGAGCCGCAACTCCTGGACCCCTTGAATGCGTCCTGCGCCTGCTGCCCCCCGTTATTCCGCACAGCTCAGACTCCCAGCGCCGGCCAGCTTCCCGTGGACGGGCTGGGCTCCAGGAGCCGATCCCCGCAGGGCTGGCACAGGGCGTCCTGCATGCCGAGCGGCAACTCCGGAATGAAGGTGGCTTGCGAACGAAGGGGCGAAATGTCACAGGCTTGGGTCCCCCCGTCCCCTTTAAGTCGTTCGCTCGCTCAATCCAGGCGGAAGGTAAACCCAGCCCCGCTCCATCCTCCCCATGTATCCCTGCAGCCGCAGCCGGGGAGGGGCTGGGGTGGTTCCCCTCTCACTCGGTGCACGGCGGACCTAGGGTCCCTCCCGGCCCCGCAGCAAGTCAGCCACCATCCTACGCCTCCTCCCCGCACCGTCATCCGGCTGCTCCGGGCTCGGGAGTCGCAGCTGCCGCCGCTGCAAGGCGAGCGGGAGGGCGGGAGGGAGGGACGGACGCTGCGGCAAAGGCGCCCCCCCCCCCGGGCCAACCCCAGCCTCGCCCCCCCTAAGCGGGGCGCGCGGGCCAGGTGGGGCCCCCCCCGAGCCCGGCGGCGCGCGCGGGGCGGGCTCGGGAGCATCCTCCCCCGGCGCGCGAAGCCCGGGCGAGGGCGGCTGCGCTCCCTCCGGTCCCAGGCAGGCGCCGGGGCCGGGGCCGGGGCCGGGGGCAGCGGCTCGCTCTCGCCTCTGGGCTTCCCGGGCTGGGGGCGCCTGAGCGGAGGAGACCATCCCCGCCTGTGTGCCTGAAGCCCCGCGGCCTGCCCGGGGAAGGGTTGGAGGGAAAATCTGGGCTGGAGAAAGGGGATGTGTTGCCGGTTGGTACGATATTGGCGAGGGGGAGGCTGCTGGGTGGAAAATAAGGGAGCGGGTCCGACTGTCTGTCTGGTCTGTGTGTCCCTCCGGCTGGTGGCAGAGTTAGCACCCACATCTTTTTTTTTTTTTTTTTTTTTTGAAATAAATTATTGCCCTGCCCGTGTCTCCCCCGGTACAAAAATACATGGGGAGAGAAGAGCAAAGTCAGGGAAACTAAGTCACAGCTCAGGCTCCTCCAAAGCAACACTTAGAGAGGGACATTTCATCTAGCCAAGGTATCAGAAGTGACTCTAGTTCTGCAGTCAGCCCAGCCCCGGAGTCCGTCCTTCTTCAGTTCGCTTTGTTTTTCCCAGCATTAGACCTTTGCATTTTCTTTTAAGGCACAGTTAAATTGGGGGACTCCCCTTCCTTTCTTAAAAATAATCTGCAGAGTGCCGGGCACTGGAGACTTAGATTTGGCTTTAAAACTACAAACAGCAGCACAGGCAGCAAAGTCAGTCAAACGCAGAGCATATATCTGAATAAAAACACTGCAAAAATATTGTTCAAAAACAGGCAAACCAAATGAATACATGTTCAAAATATATACAGGCCAGATCCTCAATTGGTGTAGCTCCATTGAAATCAACAGATCTACACTTATTCAGAACAATTCAGCGTTGGGCCCATATAGAGAAAACTCTGAGTTCATGCATTTTATCTTTACATGGAGGCAGACCTGAAGGTATTTTTCCAGTTTCTTTCTTTTTTTTTTTAAACAGACATTATTAGTTATAGAGATGAGAAACTTTCCCAGTCTGATGCAGAGTGACCAAAAGCCCCCTTTCCCCTCCTTAAATTGTCCTAATTAGAAACAAGTGACCATAACATTCTGATTCTCATAATAATAAAAATCACCTTGGATTAACATAACAGACAATTATATAATATCAATATAATGATATGTACTGAGAGAAGGGGAAAACCAATCACATGCGTACACACAAACATAACTTTTTTTTACACACACACACACACACAGGCTTTCTGTGTTTTGTTAATCTGATGACCCTTAATCCAGATCTGGAGAGGGTTGTTCAATCTTCAGATCTCCATGTTTCTGCTTCAGAACAGGAGGATGGACTAGACCACCTCTTGAGGCCCATGCCAGTCCTACGTTTTTATGATGTCATGTTCATTCAGTCATTAACCTTTCTGGTGGAAAGCCAGGAAGGGTATCAACTGGAATAATGGATTGAGTGATAGTGACCGCTAGTCACTAGCTGGAGACCACCGTGGCACTCAACCCTCTTCAGAGTGGAAGTCACTGGGATGGGTTTGAAATAAATATCTAGAGGATGGGGGTGAGGGGTTAATGGAATGGTAAAATTCTTCCAGTATAAAACTCCATAAGTCGTATTTCAATGCCTATAATATTTTATCCCAAAATCATGAACTCTTAAGAGGACAAATCCATATAGTTACAGCTGTCATTATTGAATAATGTGCCATTATTAAACTTTATTTTCAATGGAATCACGATATAAAAATGCAGCAGAAATTCAAATCCAGGTTGAAGCATGGTGTCAAAGTAGAGTTGGGCGGAGAGGGTTTATTTTAAAAATATTCCCCCTTCCCTGCCTCTCCATCTCCCCCCCCCCCAAAAAAAAACACAAACAAAAACCTTCAAGAGATTTGACATTTCAGATGATGGGATACAAAATCTTTTGCTTCTAGATTGCTGGTTCAAATCCAGTCTAAGGTTGATAAATGACCAAACATTGCTACAATAGACTGCATGAAATGGTCCCTCCTCAAGTTTCCAGTGTTCGGGTGTCCACATTTCAAAATCCATTTCCACCATCCACAATTCCTCTATTCACCAGAAAGGCCAAGCTGTGAATGGCTGTGTTTGCCAAGAAGAATGCACTACTCCACCCTTTTCAGATAAGGACTGAAGGAGGTTGGCAAGGAAGTGTGAGAAAGTCTACATTGCATCTGCCTGTTTTTTACCTTATATGTGAAGAAACAGAAGACTTTGGTTTCCAGAGACATCAATCCAAGCACTTTCCCCCAGCAGTAAATGTACTGATTCAAAAAATAATAATTAGAGCTGCTAGAGCTGTTTACCAAAAAGAAAAGCAGCATAGCACTCAAAGCAGAGAAAATTTCCTATTCACCTGCATATTTTTAACTGCTGCTTTTTGAAAGATGGGGTTCAGTCTTGGAAAGATAGGACCCAACCCATCCTGCAAGGTCTTCATTGCACAGAACTCTCACTGAAGTAAACATACTTGCATTATATACATGTAGCAAAAGTGGAGTTTTAATTATAAAGCTCTAATAATAAAAGCTTAGATTTAAAAGAAAAAGAATGACACACAACTTATAATATGACCTTAATGCTGTTAGTGTTTTCAAAAGTAAAATGCTAATTCTTAATTTCTATTCAAATTTTCTATTTTCCTCTTACTCAAAAGCGGCTGAACCACTTTTGCTCAGTCTTTCCAGAACCACTCACTTTGGGGCAGATGCTAAGCCTGGGAAATTTCAGTCTGAAAACTTTCAGGAATAGAAAGTGACTGAAAAGCCTGGAATTAGAAAACCATTATGCAGCTTTAAGTATATCCAGTCCAAAAATACTGAGCAGCAATATGGCAGCCTCCTTCAATATGAATTACACAGGAGGACCTGGATGATTTTGTTATACAGAGAGGGACAACTGCTTCCAAATAGTCTGCTGTGAACTTTGTGATCTTGAGAGCTGCTGCATTAGCATACCTTTCCGTTAACGCCATTGTATTCCCTAGGTGAGGTGGAGGCAAGGAACATACGAGAAAATTCCACTGAAGCATACAGAAGGTGCCATATAGCATTGAAGGAGACCAGAAAAGAGGTTATGCTCTGTGGCATGGAAATCTAGAAGAAAAATACCAGGTGCACACACACACAGGCTACCTTAAGTGTGGCTAACAAACGAGCGCTCCATTAATACCGTACAATACTATAAAAGAACTGTGGGAATTCAAATCCAAATAGGGAATTTTTTAACGTATGGGGAAAATGTGAAAACATCTTCCACAACTCCACAGACGTAGGATGTTGGTTCACAGGGGGACAAGACTGAGACCAATCATAGCTTTGTTTTTCTCCCTCGGCCTATTTCCATTTTTTTTCTAGAAATTGCTGCATAAAAATGTTATAAAGCAAAGAAGAAGTGGAACAAAGGGACATTTACCATTAATGTGTGTCTCTAATGCTCTGGAAAAATTCTATTTCTGCCTAACACACTAGGGTATCAAAAGTCAATAGCAGCAATGTATAGCCTCTATATATGCTGGCCAAAATTATTATTTCCCTGTATCTGAGAAAAAAATCCACTATATCATTATTCGGCGGTTCAATTACTGATATTAAAATCTTCTAGCTCAAAGCTCTGCTCCTTGAATGCAACGAGCATGGCGACAAGAGTTTTGGCAAAGTAACTTGGCTTTCTGAGGTTATGCAGTCCTGATTCTCCTCTCACCTAATGGTTAGCAATGTGGAGGGACTCTATTGAAGTAACTGGGACAGCTGCTCTTCACTGCTCTGCTACATCTGCACCATTCAAGGTGCAAATGTTGCCCTCAAGCGAGCTGCTGGGGATTCCCTCAACATTAGGGAGTTCCCAGAAGGGATACAGCTGGTAGAGCCAGCTCCTTGGACATCCTCCCCACAGCTTCTGCAGGAAGTTTCAGGAACTGGGGAGGGGAAGGGGGCACTGAGGAATAGGCCAGAGCATTCTCTACTCCAGTTGGTGAACAATCCCTTGGGGGCCATTGTCATCTTGCTCAGGTTGCAACAGCCTCCAGTCTGCTCTAACCTGGTCTCAGGGCTGAGGAGAGAATAAGGGTATTATAACTGGCTCCCTGGACATACATTGGACCCAGCAGTGTAAAGCTAGTGTAAGCGAAAGGACAGTTAGGTCTTTTATATATCAATCCACTTGGCCTGCATTACTTAACTTTGACTTTAAAACCTCTCACAAAAGCCATTATAACAGAAGAAAAATAGCAGCAGAAATAAAGTCTTCAAATCACCCTCCAAAACTCAAAGTACAAGTTCTGCCTGGATGATTGGTTTAGTGCAATTAATTTTTTTTTTTTTTTTTTACTTCAGGGGTGCATTAGCTTTAGTTGATGTTCACGATTTGTCCCTCTCTAACACTGCCATGAGACTCTTGAGGATTCCTTATTACTGTTTAAATGTAGTTCTACTTCCCTAGTGTGTGCAGCCATTGGGGAAAGGATCTCTCCCCCAACAGTTCTGGAGAATTCAAATTTCCCCCGCCATCTGTGGATTTTTTTTTTTAATTTATTGGACTCAGAATTCAGTCCTAAAAGGTGTGACACTTCTACAAGATGTCAAGTCTGCTCAACTTCCACCAAAACCACTGGGATTTGAAGGCACAAAGTAGTTTGCAGGGCAAGATGGTTATAATCATAGAATCATAGAATCATAGAATATCAGGGTTGGAAGGGACCCCAGAAGGTCATCTAGTCCAACCCCCTGCTCAAAGCAGGACCAATTCCCAGTTAAATCATCCCAGCCAGGGCTTTGTCAAGTCTGACCTTAAAAACCTCTAAGGAAGGAGATTCTACCAC